GTGAATTTTTGCTCAGATTTACTATCCTGGGCAAAACTGTTGAAAAATGAGTTTTGGTCACTTTTGCTACATTGAGCAAAAATGTGGCAAATTACTACTTTGACCGAATTTGCTATAGAGAGCAAAAGCATTCAAAAATTCATCTTCGATCGCTTTTGCCCATTTGGGCAAAAACCTGACAAATGTCAGTTTTGCTATCAAGTTTGACACCCCTGTAAATGCCTTGATAAAGTAAAGGTTATCCTTGTTTTTACACACAGGGCAAATTTGAGGCAAATTCGGCATTTACCACCTTTGCCACTAATGCAAAATTATGGCAAAGTTGGTCCTATGTCGTGGCAAAATTGAGCAAAATTAAGCAAATGTGGCATTTGCAGATGATTTGCTCCAAATTTGCTATAGAGGTAAATCCGTTTTTTCGTCCAGTGTAAGGAAACTGCTTTCAATCTATTGAGGGCAGGATATCTTGTTGACTTGGTCAGAAAAAAAGGCCCTTCCCATGACCAAAACCGAAGCGCTGAGACACTTCAAGTCATTTTGGGCATGAAACAACGGCTCCACCTCAAAACCACCTTAAGCGGGTCTGAATCCGTTACGGTTTACATACAAAGTTTGACATCTGAGCCCAAGATAAAGTATCTGTGCGCTAAAAGGGAATGCATACCCCCCTCCCTCTACCCGCACCATCCCTTTGCTAGATCCATCTCTGCTTTTTCTGTCCCAAAACCAGTTTGCCCTGCATTTTGCTGGATGAACAGTTTGATTTACTAAGGAGGGAGGCCAGGCCGACACTTATAACATTGGTCAAACAGCACTTTAATCATATCAAAAACTAAACTTATATACAAGGATGAATACTTGCAGGAAAGCTAAACATGATGTATCAGTCACTTTCAGATAGCAATAACTGCAAATAATAATTCTAAGGTGACGCTAACTGTGAATCAGTGGAGCATTATCACAATCATTATACTAATTACATTCCTATAGGAGAATTTCTTCATATGTAGGTAGCTGTATGTTTAGTTATCTAAGTTAAATGTAAATGTCCATTAATTTGTTTCAGTCTTCATTATGGGTCATTAATACACATTGTTATTAACGCTAGGCTTCACGATAAGTGGAGATTTTTTAGGAGTTAGTAAACTGTAATCTATTCTAAACCTTTTCAGCTTTTACTTCTTTTGGTTTGTTCAAATCACACCCTGTTGCTATGTAAAGATATAGTAATGACCAAACAAATTTTCTCTTCTCACAAAAACCCACTCTATTATTATGAAACAACAAAAAAAAACCAAAACAAAACAATATATAAATGAAAACCTAAGAACTTCGAGATTGCTTAGAAGCTACCTGATCGTCGAACTCAAAAAAGCTTAACATCTTTTGAAAAAATCGAAAATATAATGTCAAAGAATGTAGCTCAAATTATTGCTGTTCAGAAAAATATATTTACACATGCTTAGATAAATACTTTATAGTTTATTTTCCCTGCTTTTGAGAGATTTTTCCCGTGCTGGGTTATTTTGTTAGCTCTAAGGTCTAAGCTTTTTGCACTTAGTATGTGTGAGTGCAGTGCTGCCAGTGAAGCGTTTTATACATCCATAAGTTATCTTATTGAGCTTTAAGTTTAGAAAACGTAATATTGATTGATCTTTAAGTTGTTTAGTTTGTAGTTAGTGTGGTGTTAATCAGTTGTCTGATTAAAAGCGAGGTTTAATGTTTTTAGTTCGCAAAAACCCTGATTGTGTTGGTTGCCAGGTAACAACTTTACAATCTCAATACATCCAAGTGACTGAAGGTTGTTTAAGCTTAAATCAAAAAAAAAATTCCTTCAAAAGGGAAACATTTACATCGCAGACAAGGATTTAGTGCCGGAAAAATACTTTACAGTTTATGTTCATTGAGTTTAGGAGATTTTTACCTTTATCAGTTATGTTGCTATACCTAAGATGTAAGCTGTTTAGTTTGCAGTTAGTGTGTGCGAGTGCTGTACATAAATGTTTAACTGCTTTATCAGTTATGTTGTTACTATAGAGGTCTAATCTGTTTAGTTTACAGTTATTGTGTGCGAGTGCTGTACATAAATGTTTAACTGCTTTATCAGTTATGTTGTTACTATTGAGGTTTAAGCTGTTTAGTTTGCAGTTAGTGTGTGTGAGTGCTGTAGCTAAATGTTTAACTGCTTCATCAGTTATGTTGTTATAATCGAGATTTAATCTTTTTAGTTCGCAAAAACCCTGATTGTGTTGGTTGCCAGGTAACAACTTCGCAATCTCAATACATCCTCGCGACTGAAGTTTGTTGAAGCGTAAATCAAAATGCAAAATTCCTTCAACAGATTTAAGTGCATGCACTAATGCTAAACAGTCGAGAGGTGACAGGTTACACATCCTAAAACTAAGCGCATTGCAACCAATTTTCGCCAGTTTCTTTTGAACTTCTTGATCAGAGGCTTTGTTCTCATACATGCAATTGAATAGCGTCACCACTAAAAACCTGTCTTCACCAACTGGCCAAAAGGTCAGTGTTTCAATTCGTTCCTCTGAATCTTCATTCATCTTGATTTCAACTTCTTCAGTAAAAGTTTCTGAGGGAAGAAGGTCGCTGAAAATATCTGTTGATTGTCCTTCTTTTTCAGCCAGCAGTCCAGCCACAAACTGCATCACAACCTTCCACGCGCCATCCTGGATGTGATCGGAAACAAACTTCTGCAGGTCTTCGGAACTGTACGTGTCCACCAAATACTTCGCCGCCAAGAACTCCTGTATCGTCAGGTGTAAAAAGCAATATTGCGGTCTTGGCTCAGCTAAAGGACGGTCTCTAGTATCGGGTAAACGGTGAAACAAGCCATTACTCTCTAGGTCGTTAACTTCGTGTGATTCGAAAATTAGTCTTCCCTCTTTAATTCCATCAAAGGCAATTTTTCCCAGGCGTGCAAACACATTTTGCACATGGGAAGAAAGTTCCTTAAACGGCTTTAGAATAAACGGTTGACCTTTGGCTTTATCGTGGCGATATTGATTGTCATCGTAACAAAAGTAAAACATCTTTATTGCAATTGAGTATATTTCTGTCAGTCTTGTCGGGAGGCTGGTTAAGCCAGTAGTGTTACCAAGCAACTGTAACAAGCACGAACAAATGATCCAACAATTCACAGGAATATAGCAAAAGGATAAGAGGTTACGGTTACCGTTAATGTGCTGCTTTATGGTGTTTGCTTTCTGGTCATCGCCATTCGTGAACTTCTGCACATACTCATCTACTTGCTCAGTTGTAAATCCCAGAATCTCAACGGTTTTGTCAAAGTGGAGTCTACTGATACATGACACGGCGTTAGGTCTTGTGGTCGTTAGAACTGTAGCACCACGAAGAATATCTCCTGACGCTATTTTCTTGAAGAGGAAATGAATAGGCATGCTTTCCTGTTCATTGTCTCTGTACGGATGGCTTTCGTTATCGATTTTAGTCTTACCAGAGTATTCGTCAAATCCATCAAAAATTATAAGTACTTTGTTTGGGTTTTGAAGAATGTACTTCCAGACCTCTTCGGTTAGATCTTCTGCGGAATACTCTGACTGATTCAGGAGCTCGCGAAGACTGAGTTTTTCGTCTTGCTTGGCCGAGTTAAACCTCCTTAGCTTGATGAGAAAAGCGACTTCGAAATCCACTAGTGATTTTTTTGCTTCTATAAACAAGTTACCGGATGCCCAGTTGCGGAGAATCTTCGTGCTAAACATAGTTTTTCCAATTCCAGGACGACCAACAACAAGTATCTTCAGTTTTTGAGCATCAAAAATATCTCCTGGTTGTGTTGGTTGCGAGTTTTCCGTGGGTGTGGGGTACTCTTCTAGTCGTTTCTTTCTACCTCCAGCTATCAAGTCATGCATATTAACTCTTCCCTTGTGAATAACCAAATTGGTGTAGATTTGGTCAAGTGTTTGATCTCTTTGAGAGCCTTCACCTGGTTTAGGACAAAAAGGATCTTTATCATCAGATCGTTCGGTTTTCCTTTTGACATGTTCCTTCATATTTGCGATGAAAGTTGAGACGGATGTTTGTTCGTCATTGGCTGAATTTGAACTCAGATAATATTTATGAAATTTCTGGTCCTCCGTAAAGGCTTTGAAGCTGCTTACTTTTCTTGCACGCCATAACAACATGAACAGAGACTCGATAAACACAAAAAACGCAAAAGTTCCGGTTACAACGATCACGGCATCAGACCAGAAGGACTTCTTAGCTGCTCTTTGATTATGACATTCGTATGACGTTTGCGTTTGTGTTCCGTTGCGAGACCCACTGGCCGTGATGTCTGAAAACTTCTCTTCTCTCGTTAAGTTACATTTGAAGTTCGAGGGAAAGCTGGGAGGATAAAGTAATTTGGTCTGCAGAAGGACAAAAGAAATCCCGAGAGCAAATCTGACAAGAAGTTGCAAACAGTACGCTTTGAATAGCTTTTTCCGGGGAGTCGGTTGCCCTTCTACATCATCATCGCCGTTTCTAGCGTTGTTTTCAAGTTCCTCAACTTTCGACTTCACCGCTTGTGAGTATATTCCACAAACACTTGCAGTAACAAGAAAGTTAATCATCACGAATCCATAAACAGGGAATTTGTTGTATTGTTTTTCGTACTGTTCGTAACACTGTCCACGAATTAGTTCCTTGTCACCATTTGAGCCACAACGAAAGTCAAATCTCGGTTCGCTGTTTTCAATGTCTAGAAAGATTGCTGATAGGATAATTCCGAGCACAATCCAACATACATTTGCCACGTAACTGAACCAGTGGAGTGTTTTAGGAGCCAGCAAATTTTTAAGACCTTCCATGTTGTATCCTTCTCGATTTCCCGCTTATGAGCTACGAATGCTTGCATTTAGCTTTTGAATTCTACGAGAAATAATGAAACGAGGAAAATGATGTCGATTTTAAGTTAAAAGTCAACCGTGGTATTTGAAACCACTAGGGGCGGAGCGCAAGCTAACGTACGTCATCATATTCCATTCGGTAATTGATTGGCCTCTGACGTCACGCAACAGTGTCACTGGTAGTCTTTACACTAGAGTCTAAATAAGCAAAGAAATATTTGAAGACAAGTAAATTTTAAATTCTTCAACTAAAAGGAAGCTTCACACACAACCTGTCTTTTTTACTTCAGGTTTACTTAAGCCTATTTTCCCACGAAACACAATTAGGATTGATTGACATGCTTCGCCTTTCTTAAAGCTCAAGAAACCGCAGGTTCGCAAAAGTCGGTTTTAAGGATAGTTTTCAAGTCACTTGAAACTTTCTTGAATCGTTTCAACTTTCCAACTTTAATGAGATGCAAAGTACAGTTACTTGAGATTTTACTGAAGCCTTCACACACGCACTTTTGGTTACGTAAACCTTAGCAGCTTCAACATATACCTGAGGAATAGCAAAGAATAAATTGAATTATGGGGATATATAAAATCGAACGAAACGGCCGGAAGTACTCTGCGTCGTGCATCTAAGTAGCTTCCGATTGGTTTAAAAACAATCAGCTACTGTCAAAACTCACACATGCTTATTTACATAGTTGTAAAGACAACAACTGACAAAAATATTTGGATGCCAAAATAACCCGGGGGGGGGGG